TCCAACCGCAGGGAGCAGAGCAGGTCCCAGCCAGAAGAGAGACTTGAAGCCCTTCACCTTGTTTATTTGCCAGCAGCAACTTTCAGAAAAAAAAAAATGTTCTCTTGCTTATTTTTTTTAATCATTAATAAGTAGAGCGGGATCTTTCCACATGCCAGCACTGTGGCTCCAGTCTTCAAATGTTTCTGGAAATAGGTCTTAGCAGCTGATAGCACCTGCTGGACAGCAGCTGGCTCCCCATGGCTAGGTGAACTCGGGCTACTTGCCACCAGCAGTTTTCCCACCACTGCTCGGAACTGCAACCAGCTGAACAGGAGGCAAGGGGACACAGTACAAGGACCTCAGCCCACCTGCCCCCGAACCAGTTTCAACAGGAGTTTAGCTGGGGGAAAAAAAACTGGTGCTTTTGCCAAGCTGACAGGCAGTGACTGTGCAAGAGGCGCGCTAGCAGCAGGTAAGGAGATGAGTGCCACCCCTGCACTGTGCCCCCTCCCTGCAGCACACCAACAGGGACTCAGACCCGCAGAGACCCCCAGGAGAGGGGGATGTGGGGAGACCCTCCTCCTCAGCACCCCAAAGGAAAAAAGCCCAAACATAAGTCAGCACAGTAAGGCCCTGCAGAGCCCACAGCAGCTTTAAACAAACCAAGACATTCTCATGTTTCAGAGATAAGTGCCAGCATCAGTTTGACCAGCCCAGCCCACCAACCCCGAAGCAGGTCTAAGCACCAGTGCCCAGACTCACAAGTGCTTCTTGTCACGCCTGACACCTTCTGGCATCTCAGCTACAAGTCCCACTCTGCCTTGCAAACCAAAGACAAAAAAGGGAAAGCCAGGTGAACCTGATATTGAGCAAATGAGTGCTCATTGCACCCCTTGTGCTAATAAGCTTTTTATTTACTAGTTTGAAACTCTCCCTTACTTAACTCAGACAAGATGGCATTGCAGTGCTTCATGTCTTAGAGCCCAGCAAGGGTGGGTTTTGTGGAAGTCTGGTCAAGATGAGCACAGAAAGCCACAGGGTGTCTGGTTCCCTCCTCTCCTGCCACTCACAAGGGTGGAAGAAGCATGAGCAGGCGCCCTGAGCCATCGCGGCAGGCTGTGCCACAGGGCACAAGCAGGCTGGGGGAAATGACAGCAGGCTGAGAAGAATAAGGAGGCAGCTTTATTTACGCTAGCAATGCTGAAGCCTCTAGCTCAGAGTGAGGAGGTGGAGCAGGAGGAAAACAAACCTCACACTTCAAAACCATCAGATAAGGCTTCAGTGAAAACAGAAGAGCTATTTTTCCAAGGAACTGCCCGCAATATCAGAGGGCCTCCAACCACCAGCAGTAAACACTTGGAGAACTTTCCAACCACAGCCTGAAGTCAGATGGCATTTCTCACAGGCTCCAGGAGTGCAGAGATCCCAGGTTTGGGATTGCTTACTGTGAGGCAGAATACTACTGAGCCCACATCTAGATGTAGCCTGCACAGAAAGCCCAGGTTCACCCTAGCAGCTCCAGTGCCCACAAAGGAGCAGCTCCAGCAGCTGGCTCAGCCTCCCAAAGTGGGACTGCCAGGCCGGCATCACTCATTTTATTCTCCAGTGCTCGGCTGCAGTCTGAGATGACTGGCTTAAGATCAGACTGTGACAATGGAAGTGATTAAAAGCTCTCTCACAGCTCTTCCTGGCTACCAGAGGGGCTGTAGATATTCAGCGCAAGTGGGTTGAGCTGTGGACAAGCATGCAGGAAACAAAGAGGGGCACTGTGGGGACATCAATATCCTGCAGTAACTGCAGCAAGAAACACTTTTCCCTACTGAAAGCACTCACTCCCAGCTCAGGGATGTACCTGCTAGGCAGGAGGAGCAGGATGGGCCCAAGTCTCCAGCGGTGATAAACAACATCCACTGATTGAATGCACAGAAGGCATAGTGCAGAAGCTATTAAATCATTTCTCCCTCCTGAGGCACCTCTGCTCTCCTCTTCCTCATTTAATGATATTATGGACAGGGGGAGGTCTAATACACTGCACAGGTCTGTCCGTCACCTCACATGAACTGGGAGAGGTACACTGAAGGCAACGGGAGTGAGTTATGTTCACCTGACACAGACACACTCCACGAGACTCCCCGAGGATGGAGGCAGCATACTGCTTCCCTCCTCCCCCTCTGATATTTTGCTCTCCCCACTTTTATTAAAGTGAATACACCATGGATAAAATTCTCTTGGCACTTTTTGGTTTACTACTTCCTTTCAAAAGTAGTTTTGATCCTTGCTCAGAAAGTATGGGCTGAATGCACCATTACTCAGCTGATTCACAGCTGAACTGAGAAATGCCCCGGGGAAGACAGCAGGAGGAATGCCTCTGGTTAGGCACTGATGAGCAGACCAGCAGAATGATACTAAGCCAGTTCAGACAGCTACACAGAAGAGAGCCATGCAGATTGCTGCAAAATAATATTGGAAGATCTGTATGAGCTTTCAGTCATCTCACAGAAGCTGTTCCCTTGGTGTGTGCAGATAGGGTAGCTCAGTATTTTAACTCATTGCCCTATAAAAACGTTTCAAGATCTAGTGCGAAGGCAATTATACAAAACTTAATTCTGCACCAAGAGGGATTACAGAAGCATTTTATAAGAAGTCACATAGTAAAAGGCAATTGCACAAGCCAGCAAGCAGCTCAATTAAAATGACATCTTGCTAAGCTGCTCTGTGCGAGTCAGCCTTTGAATGAAGGCTCACGCCAAGGGTCCGCTGTAGTGGGCTGCACTCTTTTCGGTATCCAAGCAACACAGCAAAGCCTGCCAGCACGCAAATTACAAGCAGTACCTTATTTCCAGAGACAGAGAAGGGAACCAGAGGTTAACACACACATGCAGGGACGCTTTGGGACACAACCCTGACACAAGGGGAAGCACAACAGATCCACTGACATAATTTCTGGTTTTGGGAGGGCATCGGTGTGAGTCTCTTGCTGACATCAAGCCCCCATGACCCCCAGCCCTCTAGCCACATGCAGACCCTGCCAGCATTTGCAGGGGAAGCCCTGTCAGTCAGAGCCACCTTTCAGACTCAGACCTGAAGCTTATCCCTGGCACATGGGGAGCTCAGCACAGCCATAAGCATGACCCCATGCACACCACCAACCTCCTTGCACAGCGGGGACCACATCCAGCATCAAGTCTCACACACCACATATGACATTTGTTCAGCCCACATCCCCTTCCCACCCCACAGCAGCCACCCCCTCTCATGAGACAACAGCAGGCAGTACCTGCTAGGCTCTGCCAGCTCCTTCTCCCACGAGAGGGGGCAGCAGCAGCAAGCAAAACGCCGCAGACACACGCCAGAAGCTGGTTTGCCTCAGGGTTTATTTTGGGTTGGGTTTTTGTTTTGTTTTAAATCAAGCTTGATCAGTTGTGGAAAGATGTGTCCAGCGTACAAGTATTCTTGTATCCCTGCCTTGCCCTCCTCTAGCATTCTAGGACGATGCAGGTTCATTTATCAGTGACAGCACAAGAGGGTCAAAAAGCAATTCAGTCACTAAATGAAAATTTTCTTGGTTTTTTTTTTTCCTGAGACTGAATAGGAAGCAAGCATTATGTTAAGGTAAAGCTCAAATATTTAACTATAATACACATATGTTTCTGCACAAAGCACAGCTGTGGGCTGAGACAAAAACTAACATGACTTTGCCATGTAAACATTAGACAAACAGGACAGAATCTGCATTCCTCAGGTGTTACCAAGCTCTGACAGTAACTGGCAGAGAAATACTAATGAAGAAAACAGGCATTGTGTAACACAGATACTTAACTGGGCACTTTGGGTCAGGTCCTGACATTATGCAGATTACCAGGGCATGAGGCAATGTCAGCACAGCCAGAGCACAACACTTTTTGAACTGGGCACACAACATCCAAGATGCTACTGACAAGCCTAGGCAACACAGCAACTTGTTTATCAATACCATGGCAGTTCCCCAAGCTGCTGGCACTCACCTTTGTCTGTGACCATCTCAAACACCATCCAGGAAGTGCAAGATATTAAACAGCGTTGCAGCAGAAAAAGCCACAGGCATGTGAAAGGATACATCCCCAGAATAACTGCTTCAAGGCATTTGATAGGTAAGGACTCCCTGGTCATTTCTTTTGCCGTCTCCATCAACCTAGGACAGAAACAAAAAGGTTTTCAGTCCTTTCAGTTGGAGCAGTTGACAGGAATCAAAAGGGTCCTCTTGTACACCAAGAGCCAGGTGCCTCCAGTTCTTATGTCAGCAAGCACTGGTGAAATTGATTCTTCTCTTCAGCAACTCACCAGAGGCCTGTTGACTTCTGAAGGATAACTAAAAAAAAAAAAAAAAAAAAAAAAAAAAAAAAAAAAAACAAAAAAACAG